TATATATATATATATATATGTATGTATATATATATGTATATATATGGTTTCGTTTGAATTTTATAATATTTTGTTTTTCTATCTAATTAATTAGTGTTAATTAATTTTGCTAATATAAATAGGAGGAGGATTGGAATGATGACGATTTCATGGATTCCTTGTTCAACTATGGAACGCATTGAGTGTCGTCGATCTAAGATCTTATCATAGCCTATAAACTTAACTGTTTCCAATAGGACATTATGCTATATGCATGCATGGTATGTAATTTTCTATTATCAGTGTTTCAATCCAATGCTATATTTGTATGCTTAACTCTCTCTCTCTCATACATATATATGCATATACATATGTATCATGTGTTCTTTTTTCTTTGATAATTCATTTTCCTATACATTGCATTTGGATCTGTTTGGCTTGGGAGTTGAGATTATGACTTGTCTTGACCCTACAATTTCTTTTTTTATAATCGGAATGTTCGAATCAATTATATATCTCCGAAGTTTGGAGAATCGGCCGGATAATTACCATTTAAAATGTTTTTCTCTCCTGGATGTTCGAATTTGGATTGGAAAGAAGTTTTACTCGGTCCCTTTATTAGTTGAGCCATCTTCTATTATAAAATTTTATATATTTCTTTTCTGTTTTTTTTTTCTATAGTTTATATAGTTTATCTCCTTTGTTTTCTTTTTCCTAAAAATTTGAATTGAAATGAAATGTCCATTGGTTTTTACTCCGGAAATGTAACCATATACCATAAGACTACACAATTTTAATATTTATATACTTTAACGAGTGTGTGTGTATATATAATACACAGTCTATTACATCCTAATCATTTTGCTTTTGAACTTTCTTGGAATCCGCCTTTTTCATGTCATTGGACCATTGGCCGAGTTTAGTTATTATTACATTTATCAATGTAATTTTATATATTTTTTTATGTTGAAGTGTATATTTAATCAATATAATAATTATGACTTTATGAGATTTTTTAGGAGATATTACCAAAAAAAATTATACCTTTTCCACGTTAATGAAATAACCTTTAATTTTTTTGGGTACTAATTAAATCCTATTTTACAATGATTAACCCAAACAACTCTAAATTTTTAAAAAATTCATTCAAAATTATTCGTGTTTGACATCTCAAACAAAAATGATGATGTGACAATGACATGATTTTCAAATCATGCACACATCAGTATAATTATGTCACATCACTATTTTAAACAAAATTTAAATTTAAATTTTTATTTAAATATATATATACATACAAATTCTCACACATACACATATATATATATATATATAATAAAATAAATTATAATTAATAAAACACACATATATACGTATAACATATATGTATATTGTAACTAATAAAATTTTATGATGAATTTATATTTTGAAAATATTATCAATTTTCTATTGAAGATAAAAATTTATTATCTAGTAAGTTTTTTTTAACTTGTAATTTTTATTATTTATTAATTTCGTTTTTGGATTAAAATATATTTTAATATCCACGGAAAGGGAAAAAGAAATCATCGATAATTTTATTCATTTATAGATAAAATAATAATGTTTATAAAATCTCTTATAAGTTATAACTATTTTAAAAATAATATTTATGAAATCTCTATCAATTGCACTCTTTTTTGCCGGCAGAGAAAGGAGTACTCTTTTTTGCTTCCCACCAATTGCACGTCTCTTGTGGATCGAAGTACGAGAGATACCGAACCAAACCAGATTCCAGCTCAGATTTCGCAAAGAAACAGTTGAGATGGAGTTGAATCGGGAGATGGAGTTGACAGAGCTGTCGAGACACCGAAGAAATGACGGACGTTAGAGTTGTCAAAGAGACTATTAGGGTGTAGGCTTGATTGGGAAGGGAAATGTTTTTTTTGTTAAAGGTTGTTGGGAAGGGAAATGTTTGCGATTTTTTTAATGAATTTTAATTCTGATGGCTTTTCCCTGTTGTTTTTCTAAACGGTGTCAATGGTAGAAGACGGTTATATAAGAGAAACAGTCCAACGGATAAGAATATAAAACAATAGTCAATAAATGTAATGGACATCGAGCGTCATAACGACCGTTTTGCACTTAATTTTTAACCCCACTAAATATTAACTATATGGAATAGATATAAGTATATTTGAAAATTATAACGAATGTTTTAAAGACATATTGAATATTTATATCTCATAAAATTAAAGCTAAATTAATTTTTTTATATAATAAAGATGAGTTTTTAAAATTATAATAATTTATTGACATTGTTTGTGATCCTCCCTCGTCAACTTTTTTTTAACTCTTTTTTATATGTAAAAATCAATACTAATCTAGAAAAAGAAAACATATACATAACTATAAAACTATAAAACTAATGTCAAAATAAAAATTTTATATAATAATAAAGATACAAAATTTTATATATGTATATATAATAAAATAAAAATTTCAATAATGTATAAAACTATTATATAATAAAGATGAGTTTTCTAAATTTTAATATTTTATTGATAATTTTTGTCATCCTCCCCATCAATTATTTTTTAAACTATTTTTTGTGTGTAAAAATTAATGCTAATCTAATTGGACATTCATTTTCTAATGAAGATTTGTATAAACCAATCAAACGCTTAAAAACTTTCACCTAGGATGCTTAGGTGGCTTCACCAGAATCCTTTAAACTTCTTTATTAATATATATAGATTTTGTATATATTTATGTGTTTTAAGTATTCAAAATTTCGGATATCTAAAAAATGTTTACGTATATGTTTATATCTGAACTTAAAATTATAAATATATAAATGTTGTAATTTAAATAAATATCACAATGTTTTTTATAAATTTTTTTAAAATAATTATAATTTCATAAGATAGATGGGTGGCAATTTTATAAATTTTAATAAATATCAAATATTTTTATAATTACATGGGATAGTGTAATCAAATTCAGATCTAATCTCCATTTTAGAAAATATTTTTCAGTTAACAAATCCGAATCCAAATTATTTAGATAATATAAAAAATAGGATGATCAGTCTCTCTCTTTTTTTTTTTAAATATCTAGTGACATAATCGGTTGGCTCGTCTTATTTTTTCCCTCGTGTTTCCGACACGTTTAGTTTAGGGTGTGAAGTGATACATCACCGAAGATAGATTTTGGCATTTTAACATAACGATTGTGATTGCTTGTCCGAAAGTATTTACGTTACATTTTGTCGAATACGGAATTCGGTTTTCTCATTTTCACAATTGAGATTTTTATTTCGTGAATTACATGTTACCGAATCCTATATGAATATATATGACTTTTTACAAGCACGGTATATAGAGAAAATGAAAATACATATTTTTTTTTTCAGGATAGAACAGAATTTATATATGAATCATACTACACAGCAGAAATAATGAAAATATATATGTATATATCGTATGTATGTGTGTGTGTATATATATATATATGGTTTTAATCGAAGAATTCCCACTTGAACCGAGGAGGGACCGATTCGTCGGCCGGAGCCGTGGCCGAGGTGGAAGCAGCCGTGTAATCAAACGTTTTCGATCTCGGCTCCTCCTCCGCCCCGTCGAAACATAACAAATCTCTTTCTTCGTATCGTTTCTGTTGCTCATTGGATTCGTGCCTATGCTCAGACGAATTCGAAGATTGTTCTTCTTGTTCCTGATGCTTGCTTCCGACAGATTTCTTAGTTCCGAAGTTTCCGTTGCGGATCTTTGGAACGAGGTTGTCGGGAGGAGCAGAGTTCTTGATCTTCAACATGTCGAGTGTTTCTACGTACTTCTGGATTCTTCTCACCTTTTCCATCATATTACAACATTACGATCAGTTACGAATTTATGATCGACGAATCTCTGGAAATGGATTCGACAGCTACTAAACCTGCATTTTCCTCTTCGATTTCACGTCTCCATCTGCGGAAACGGCGTCGAGTTTCAGCAACTGGTTCATCAAAATTTCGATCAGATTCACCAATCTCTTCTCCTCCACTCTCCCTCCTTTGCTAATCACAGTCTCGAACGCCGAAACCTAATCCAAACATATATTCACAACAGTCTGATGCTTTCTCATGAACAAGATCTTGAAGAAACGGAGCTATGTTTTTTTACCTGTCCGGCGAGTCTGTCAACTTCGAGGCTAATGTCCGCGATTGACTTTGAAGCTTTCTCAATGGCGGCGTTCTTCCTCATCTCCAGGAGACGTTTCTCCTGAGAAATTGGATCTTCTTCAAGAATCAGCTTTGACCGATCTTTGACTCCTGAAAGATCCAGAAACATCTTCGAGTCTCTCTCTTTGTCTTTGTATAGAATCTTCATGTCCTGGTGGTGAAGCCCCGTCCGACCGGACAGCATCTTCTTCAACTCCGCTGTTGCAATAATCATTTAAAAAAAAAAAAAAACGAAGACCCTTTTGCTAATTAGTCTTGAATTCGATAATTGAACTCGGAAAACTGATTTTTTTTGGTGAAAAATAAATGTTTTTTTGTTGTTACCGAAGGTAGCTTGAGAGTTGATGGTGATCTCATGGTAGACCGAACCATATTTGACCCGAACACGAATCACCGGAGACTCGCCGGAGCTCTGATCAGTCCGCCTCTGAACCATCATCCCACCCGACCGGAGATCCCAGTCATGGCGGCCTTCTCCGCGGCCGGCGACGGTTGCTGTGGTTGTACCAGTTCTCATTTTCATCATTCTTTTTCTGTCCTGTTCCCGTGTTATAAAAATCTCCCAATTTATAGAGATCTTACATATTATAAAGAATCCAATTTAGAGAGAGAGAGAGGGAATTCGACGGACTTCTAATTCTGATGGCGAGGGAGGAGCAGAAGAGACGTCTTAGCGAAGGGAAGTGATACTTTCTCAGTTTCTCTCTCTTCTAAGAGAAAAATGGAAACAAATTTTTTTTATTTTACTTTAGAATTATTTCTCTCAGATCTCGTCGAAGAAAATTGATAAAAAGATGGATTTTTTAAAAAAAAAAAATTAAACTAAGTGAAGAGTAATAAGAAACGGATGACAGCTAATGGGATTGTTGATATGTCTCATGATATACATTTACATAATTTATGCATGAAAATATATCCATACAGACATATAATGTATATTATATTTATACACGTAACAAATTGATAAGTCTCCTCCATGGGAGTTGTCGTGTGGCAAAACCTGTTGTTTTTCTCTCTCCAAATCTCTCACATGTATATTTTTCACTTTGAAAATTTTCATAAAAAATACCAAAAGTTATTAAATATATCAATTTTTAAATTGTTATATAAATACTTCAATTTGATCAATGTCTATCAAAATAGATACCAATTTGACATTGGTGCTGTTATTGATTAAAACCATCATCAATTTGATTTTTATTTGGTACAAATTGATTTAAATTAAGGTATTTGTTTAACAAATTGAAAATTGAGATACTTATGTGGCAGATTTAAATAAAATTTTGTATTTTTATAAAATTTTACTCTTTTTTTTATTTGTTCATATTCACACTGTTTTCATCACTAAAATTTCAGCTTTCCAGGAGAAAAAAAAAATCATTTTCACACGAAGGGAATTTTCAGTTTTCTTGAAAATATAAATCATGTATAGAGAGATTTACGGCCCATTTACCTTCGATTCTATTATAATGGGCCTTATATTGGGCCCGGCCCATCCTAATGTTTTACAGTTGTAAATGGCGATTGAGCCAGCTACTGTTGAAAAAGAAAAATACATATTAGAAAAGACAAAGCCGTACTGTATTTTCGTCGTCTTCGATCTCTCGGGTCTTCACCGGATAAAGCCGGTAAGTACAAAGGCTAGGTCACCGGTGCAACCGGTTATCCATCTCTATGATTCCCGCTAGGCATATGAAGTATATAAACAATACCACGCTTTTATACTCTCTCTCTCATCTCCTCCACTTTTTGTTTATGCAAAAAAAAAACCCTTCTTTTTTAGCATTTCCAACTTGAAATCTTCAGGTAGTTGTATTTAATTAATTCTCTTGGTTCTCTGATTCGATATTTCTGTTCATTTGATTTAGTATTTACGTGCCAGACCGATCGATCTTTGCAAGAAGCTCGAGTTCGCAGTTCATTGTATGGTGTGTGTGTTGTTCTCATGTGGATTTTGTTTGGTTTCTTCCTTCGAATTTTCTTGTCGCGGGATAGTTTCTGGGGTTTTTTTTTGTCATCTCTTGTTGCTCTGAGTTTATAATTCTTGTCAAATTCGCGGGTTTTATCTTGATTTCGTGTAGTTTACGGGTTACCTCTGCGACGTGCTTGACTTGAAATTAGGGTTTTTAAAAGTTTCTGCTCAGATTTGAAGTTTCGTCACTCTTATACCTATGTAATGCTGGGAATTTCGTTGTTCCTGGGCGATGAAACTTTGCTGTTTAGCTCTATTGCGCTCAAGTTAGCGCTTCTCAGTGCTCTGGGGATGAAATTTGGAATTGGGGTTTATTTCCATGCTCTAAATTTTTACTGCAGTAGTCGATTTCACCGGGATTTCTACGCATACATTATCCAAATTCTAATTTCTATTGATGATTATACTTGTTGTAGGTCTTGGCAAACAGAAGAGTGTTTAAAGGCGGAGCCTTTATGCTTGCGGTGTGTACTCTGTGTGTGATTTGCTGTTGTACCCTGATATTGAAGGTTTAGTAACTGCACTATATAGCTAGATTCGACTCTGCCCATCGAGCCATCGAGGCACTTGACTGCCTCGGCAGATTCCGAGATGGCTGGAGGACCAACTCAATCTTCCTCGAGCTCGGGAATTTTCTTCCAGGGAGATGGGGAATCCCAAGGATTCATGAACTGTTCTCTCTTGAACTCCTCCTATGGGAATTCGGCTAATTCTGGTCCCGGATCTGGACAAGGGTACCACAATCTAAGTATGGTTTCTACTGGGGACGTGAACAATCCGATGATGAATAGCGTCTCGACCTCGGGTCCGAGTGTCGGAGCGAGTTCATTGGTGACAGATGCAAATTCGGGCCTTTCTGGTGGTGGTCCTCATTTGCAGAGGAGTACTAGCATCAATAATGAGTCATACATGCGATTACCGGCCTCACCTATGTCCTTCTCCTCTAACAATATCAGCATTTCTGGGTCGTCAATTGTTGATGGGTCTACGGTAGTGCAACAGAGCTCCCATCAAAACCCGAGTGTTCAACAAGGAGGTTCCAGTGCTACATCACAAAATGGTAGAAGCCCGCTTTCAGTGGTGCCCCGAGCCCCTGAAACTTTCTTTCAGGACCCCAACAATTTAACCCGGGTGCAGAAAAAACCTCGGCTTGATATGAAACAGGATGATTTTCTGCAGCAGCAGGTTTTAAGACAATGGCTTCAGAGACAGGATATGTTACAGCAACAACATGGCCATAACCCACAGTTCCAACTTTTGCTTCAGCAACAGAGGCTGAGGCAACAACAGCAACAACAACAACAACTACTTCTTCAGTCCTTGTCACCATTGCAGCGAGTTCAGTTGCAGCAGCAGCAATTGCACCAACAAGGAATGCAGCAGCAGCAGCTACCTGTTGCAGCACGGTCATATGAAAATAGTGTATGTGCCCGAAGGTTGATGCAATACCTCTATCATCAGCGACAGAGGCCTTCTGTGAGTACACTTTTAGTTCAAAGGATCTGTCTTTTCTTACTCGGGAAAACTTTTATATACTAGACACACTGTGTTTATATCGTTAAAGATATTGGTCTTTGTAACGTTGGTTATGTAGGATAACAGTATCGTTTATTGGAAGAAATTTGTGGCCGAATATTATTCTCCCCGTGCGAAGAAAAGATGGTGTCTCTCTCTATACGATAATGTGGGGCACCAAACACTTGGTGTTTTTCCTCAGGCAGCCATGGTATGTCTCCTAACTGATTGAATTTCTCTAATTGTGTTGTTGTAATATCCAAATGTGAAACAGTAGTTTGCCTTTACCACCGTGCCACCTTTCGGCAGTATGTGTTGTGCTTTTGTGGCTACCCAAGCTTCGTTGCCTTTGACACGGGTTTCATACGTGTTGATTTCATGTAATGTTACTGCTTTTACGGTATTATTACTAATTCAATCTTTTTCCGGATTGTCTTTGTTCTATTTTCAGGATGCATGGCAATGTGATATTTGTGGTTCCAAATCGGGAAGAGGATTTGGTAAGTTAAGACTTCATGCTAGAGTATTACTTTTAGGCTTTTAGCATTTAGTTCTTTATTATTCAGCAATCACTGCTTCTATTATCGTTGTCCGTCTCTAGTTTTTTTTTGTAACTTCTGCTGTCCTTTTCGGACAAGAACAAGATTAGTATGCATCTGAATGCCTGACACAGTTTTCTGCAACTCACATTTTGTTGAATTTCGAACAATTTGTTTTTTCAGCTGATGATATAGCAGCTTCAAGAGATTACCGACTCTTTTAACAATCTTTTCTCGAGTATCAAAATTTTTCGGGGATAAACTATGTTTCTAGTTGGCAAAAGTAATATCTAATGTCATCTCTTCTATAAAAAAAAAATTCTGCAGAAGCAACTTTTGAAGTCTTACCAAGGCTCAGCGAAATCAAATTTGCAAGTGGTGTCATTGACGAGCTTCTTTATTTGGGCGTGCCATTTGAGCGTAGAACTCCTTCGGGAATTATGATCTTAGAATATGAGAAAGCGGTCCAGGAAAGTGTGTATGAGCATTTCCGTGTAGTACGTGAAGGCCATCTCCGGATAATATTCTCTCAAGAACTGAAGGTCCCAGGATCTTGTAATAATTCTTTCGTCCTTTTATTTACGACAGTAGCCTAAGTGTTTCCTTCTACTTTTCTCCAGATTCTTTCATGGGAATTCTGTGCTCGTCGCCATGAAGAACTTCTTCCCCGTCGTTTTGTTGGACCACAGGTAATAAATTTGATATATATCGGGTATTCATGTACTGGTGCTTAATCATGATCCTTACCTTTGTCATTACCCGAGTGAAACTGATTTTTTCTAAAAATTTGATTATGGGTTCGATCATTTTTCTGGTTTCTAATCAAGTTCTCGACTAATTCAAGACGAGCATTAGCATTCGATTTTTGAACTCAAGAAAGCCTTTTTTTGGGAGCCATGCAGGTGAACCAGTTACTTCAGGTTGCACAGAAATGTCAGAGTTCATTATCTGAATGTGGATCGAATGGAGTTCTTCAACAAGAAGACTTGCAAGCAAATGGCAACATGTGAGTTCCAACTCCATTATTGCTGCATATTGTCTGATGGTTCGGTCGTTTTTCTCAACAATGCAAGAAAAAGCAGAGCTGTCGGAATTGAACTGAGAAATATATGAAGAGTTTCTCTAGTGTCGTTATTTATCCTCGTGATTGATTTATCGTAATGAAGAGGGGTTCCCGGAAATCGATTCAACGATAATCCTTGGAACTAATAAAAAAAGGTATATACAGTTTTTAAGGGATGTTGATGAAATTTTGCTTCAGGGTCGTGGCTGCTGGATGTCACTTAAAGAGAAGCTTGGAGTTGCATTCACTCAATGACTTGGGCTTCTCCAAGAGATACGTCCGGTGTTTGCAGGTGACTTTCTCCGTTCAGTTCTTGATTCCATCTCTGTTTTTCGCCTTCTTTCCTCATCGATTTCTCCTATTTCCTTGATCTTCTTTTGCGTTTGCTGAAACAGATTTCTGAGGTTGTTAACAGCATGAAAGATTTGATCGACTTCTGCCGCGACCAAAGAGTTGGTCCGATCGGTAATTCCATACCCAACTAGTGCATTTCATCCGGGTTTCTTCGTGCAGAGAAAAGCCGTTGCCTTTGGAATTGATTCTGTCAGATAATGTAATGACGTGTTTTCACTTGTGTATCTTCTTCTGCAGAGGCTTTGAACAACTATCCCCGACATACGGATAAACTCCAGATGCAGAAAATCCCGGAGATGGAGCAACCGACAAATTCTCGAGGATTTCCAGTAGATAGGAGGAACAACAGCCTCAACCAGGCGATGGCCTTGCAGAAGAAGAATCCCGGGATCAACATCCCGATGAGCGACCCTGCACAAGCTGCCTTTCCGTTCACCAACTACCAGGCCATGTTTACGAGGCAGAACACAATGAACTCAAATCCTAACCCAAGCCCATCTTCTTCGAGCTTTCAAGGACATAGTGGTCTGTTGCCTACTTCTCTGCAGAACCCATCAACCACCGGCCAGGAATCTTCCATTAACAGCCTCTCACTTCAAGCAAACCACCAACAACCTTCCATTAATGGTAACCAAGCTCTGGAACAGCAGATGATCCATCAGTTACTACAGCAGATATCAAACAGAAGAAGCAGCAACACCGGAACTGGTCAGAGCATCATGGGCATAGGGCAACACCCTTCATCGGGAGGGCAGATCCCGAGCAGTTCCAACAGTTTCGGAGCCACTTCGAACAACGGGTCTTCGTCAGTAGCAGGGAGCAACAAAGGGCTCAGCCATCAGAACCAGAACCTTGCTAGTTCTGAGGAAGGTATGGTTCCAAACATGTCCCAAGAATTCCCAGACAATGGGTTCTTTAACAGTGATCTTGATGATGACCACAACAACAACAACACCATGAGCTATGCTTGGAAGTACTGACTAACAACTTATAGTAATAAAAAATAAATAAAAATTTGGTCGTATTTATCAGCTCGTTTTTTTTATTGGCATTAATTATGCATTTAGGACCAGTTTATCTGTGTACAGAGTACACCCGAACATGTGTACTGCTATTGTGTTGTTCTTCGGTCGGTATCTAGGATCTTTTTTTAATTATTTTTTTACTTTTTTTTTTTCTATCTCTGACTGCTTTGTCCTTCCTTGGTGTCTCTTGCAAGTGTTAATCTGTTACCTGAAAAATGTTTTGAGGAACATCTTGTTCTTTTAAGAAAGTTCGGTTTTTGTCCTGAGGGTCCAATTTTTGTAAAACCGATCCAAACCATTTCCGTCCCGAATCTGAATCGAATATCGAAACGTCCACTCCTATTTCTCATCGGTCCCGAGAGTTTGAGCATCGATCTAGAATACTCGATTATCGAAATAAAACTTAATCGGACATATATATATATATATATATATATATAACTATTTATGCAATGTTTATAAGCAATGCCAATATTCCTTTCTCTTTTCTTTTTTTTAAATGGAAAACAAAATTCACATCCACACACTTTTCATTCCCCTTTCTTTCAGCTTATTCATGCAACTCTCATGGAGGCAAAAACAGTGCAAAGAGATACTCACATATTCTACGTATATATATACATACACATGCGTGTGGGTGTATATGTAGAGATCAGATCTCTAAGCAAAACATCAATAACCACTGAACCCTCAGCAATTTAAAAACCCTTCAACCATGAAATATATTGCAGCCATTGTCCTAATGGTTCTAGTGACCATCGGACCAGTGGTTCGAGCCCAACAATGCGGCGGCGATCTAGCGAAACTGCAAGTGTGTGCGCCGGTGATATTCAACGGCATGGCCAACCGCCACCAGGGTCTGTCCGCGAGCTCCGACTGCTGCGCCGCCATCCAATCCACCCGCCAAGATTGCCTCTGCGGCGCCCTCCGTGCCGCCACCGCTCTGCCCGGCCTCTGCAACATATCGCCTATCAGTTGCGGTACGAATTTCCATAAATATATAGAGTTAATAATAGTTATTAGTTATGCAGTTTATCTATTAGTATATATTTATTATTTTATATGCCATAAATACGTAATTTTTGTGATCGAACGTGGTAGATAAAAGTATATAGGAACATGTGACATCTCTCTCTCTCTCTCTCTATATATATATACCGAGTTTATAGTTTATACCATTCGATGCACCAACTTTATTTTATTGTACGTAATAATACATATACATATGTATATATATATATAGTGTAAATCTGATTGGTTATTTATAATTTATTTCGTCTGCAGAATACTGATGGAGTACTTGGAGCTCAATAAGTAAGGAATCAACTACGGGGAATAAAGGACATTTGAGCTTCTACCACGACAACGAAAATAATAATCTGTAATAAAAAAGAGATAATAATATCTTAGAGATGTACGTTTTTATTTTCAACTCGTTTCATTTTGTTTTTTAAATGTGGTGTGGCCAATTATTATCACCACCTTGAACTTTATATACTATAAAGATTTGCTAATTATGAAAAAAAAAATGCCATGATTTTCGTCGTGACAATGCCGGAGGGCCCTTTAATCATTGCAGGATTTCGATTTAATTCAAATTCAACCGGATTCAAATTTTCTAAATCGGCTGATTAAGTGTGTTCTGTGTGTGTGTATACATATTACCCAAATTTCAAATCAAAAGTAAAAATAAAAAAATAAGGAAAGAAAAGAAAAGAAAAACATGTCTTACGTTTGGAATTCGAACCAAACCTTGTCACACAATTACCGTAACAGTTACCTTTGACTTATTCACTTAATCGTCAACAAAGCTTCAATGCGCGCGTGTAATCAACGCGCTCTTCCAAGCGCGTGTTAGCGCACCCGGCAGATCCATGTTTCTTCTGCTATATATATGGATATCGCACCCAATCTCGCAGCCTTAGCCTCTCGAAGCTCAGACCAACCGAAGCCATCGGCAGACTTCCAAGACCACCGGCGGTTTTCCGGTAATATACGATGGGCTTCTTCGGACGACTCTTCGGCAGCAAGAAACATGAAAAATCGGCGCCGGTGAGGGACCGACAAAGATGGAGCTTCACCAGATCTTCGTCTCCGGCGGCGCATTCCAGCAAGAGAATCGCTCCTCCCTCGTCTTCGATCCCGTCAACTGCGGCGGCGGACGCCGAGAGGCACGCGATCGCCGTCGCGGCCGCCCCCCCCGCCGCGGCGGG